TTGCAACAACTTGGGAAGAGCATGCCAATGATAGGTTGTGAGGACTAATGATAAGAGAAATCAATAGGAATCAAAGAGCTATCTCCTAATTTTTAAGCTAGGGTTCACTATGAATAACAAACTAAGACAATCACAATCAAAACCAATTGATAATTGCAATTCCTAAATCAATTGTTTATGTCATTAGCAATTACAATGCAATCTAGCATAATTCTCAAGGCCTAATTGAATTACACACATGCAAACTTTCACTAATCACTTTAATCTCAACAATTAATCAACACAATTCCCAAATTAATCACAATTAATCAATTATACATGTTTCACCCAATTCCTAGCTAAACAACTATTCAAGAATCATCATCTATCAACTAACAACTATGGAAATCAAGAATCAACAAAATACCAAGAACAATTACACTAATCAAGCATCAAACATCAGAATTAAACCAAACAAACATGAAATTAAACAAAGCAATAAGGTGAGATAGAGTTAAGAATGCTCATTGATAATAGAGAAGATCTTGAACATAATTGTCATTGTATCTTCAATCTCTCAATCACCATTGAAATCCTTCACTTTCTCTCTCTAAAACTACTCCTAATCTAGCCTAATCTAGAGAGAGAAGCTCTCAACCTAAGAGAGAGAACTATTCTAAGACTAAGAATTATGTGAATGAATGATAATAAAAACCCCCTAAAACAATATATAAACAAAAGGAGAAAAGAAACTTAAAATCGTAAAAGACCCAGAAGTCCGCGCCCTTAGATAAATCGGCCGCGCCCGCGGACACCCCAATAGCCGCGCTCGCGGCCAAAGCCCGCGCTCGCGGGGAGCCCATGGCCAGCCCACGGAGGGTTACTGCCCAAAATGGCAGAAATGGGTTACGGCAGATTTGCAGGGTCAGGTTTGGAAGGATGTAATTCACTATATAGGAATCTTATAAAGGTGTGCGACCTATCATTGGAAATCTCTTCAAGTCTAGTTTCCAAACCAACTTGAATCACCTCAATCCGATCTGTAGAACTCGTGATATGACCAAAACAATGCACAAAAGTCCTTTTTGATACTTTGTAAGCCTTGATTTTCCTTTGTTTCTTGGATTGGCTTGACTTGCGTGCTTGGCTTCCCTAACTTGGCTCCGTTAAATTCCTTGAATGCACTTGAGCTCCCTTCTTGATGATTAAATCCCGGGAAGCTCGATACACCTACAAAACAAGTCAAACAAACGGAGAAGCGAGGGAAATAGCCGAGAAATGAATAAAATAATAAGAAAACCATTAAAAGCACGCATTTCTCTAAATTAACACACAAACACACAAATCAAGCATTATTCCCTAAAAAAACGACATAAACAACTAAAAACGAGCATAGAAATATAAAGAAAACATAGCCTAAAGGTGCCATAAATGGCACGGATCAGCAAGACAAATAACTGCGCGCATCATCCGCGCGCGACTTATTCACTTGCGCGTGACTGCCGCGCGTAACTTTTCCAGTTGCGCACGACACCTGCTGCGGCAGAATGCTCTTAACCCTAAACCTAGTCATTCCCTATAAATAGGACCCTAATCCGAGGCTTAAACACACAGAAAATAACCTAAAACGCTGGCAGAATACTTGTGAAATTGTGCTTCCTAACCCTCTTGTCCTAAACACTCACCCCTTTGATACTTTGTTACTACGGTGAAGGTTCCCAACAAGAAGGAATCCATAAGTGTTCTAAATGGAGATCTAGCAAAGAGAAGTGGTAAATTCCCGAGCACTTAGTTAAATCACGTTTATTTTCTTGCTTAAAAGAACCTTAATTAATTAATTAGTGTTGTTTGATCACCTTTAAAATAATTAATTAATCAATTACATATAGCATCTTTCGTTAAATAAAGATTAGAATTGAATATAATATTTTTTGGTTGATCACTTTAGCCAAGACGAATATTTTTTATTTCTTGCTCTTTTCAAGAATTTAATTAAATAAGAATAACGATCTTACGATGTAATTCCTACGGGAATTGATGTGTGTAAATAAAATCAACTAACATAGTTTTAGGTATCACGTTGCATATATTGTTTGGTGATGAAATTATGCAAAAGGAAGAGCTAGTAGAGGCCGCACGAGGGCTAGGATCGCGATTCCCCTCTAAAGGGAACGTTATCTTAGTACCCTCGCTCCCGAACTCATTTCTGGTTTATGTAGACCAATTTGGGCATGGGTAAACTTATGATTCATGCTAAATATCCTTTGAACTCTACTTGGGAAAAAGGCATGAACGAGGTTTATGGGTTTTCCTAAAACTCATTGGCGACTCCTACTTGTTCCTTACAAAAAAGCGTGTATGATAGAATAATTTCTAATTCAAGGTCCCCAAACAGTCATGAATTCAAATCCTAATACACCCTAACAAGTGTAAAGTCCTAGGATTTTAAATGGCCATGGGCGTTTAAGGAGAGTACCCCTTAGACGGGATCACCTTCCTTATAGTACCCTCCACTCGACTCAGGACAAAAATGAAAGAAAATTTTGTTTTTGCATTTTTGGTTGCTTATGTCTGCACACACACACCATACACACACACACACACAACCATAAGTCATACACATTTCATGTCAAGTCAAGCTTGGTCAAGTTAGTTGGTCAAGACAATCATAGTCTATACGAGTCCCTTGGCAAATTTTATTTTGCAGGTCTAAGTTATAGCCCACGTCCGGGGGCAAGCGGACCATCTACAGCCCACGTCCGGGTATAAGCGGACCATTTACAGCCCACGTTCGGGGAAAAGCGAACCAACTACAGCCCACGTTCGGGGATAAGCAAACCAACTACAGCCCACGTTTGGGGACATTCGAACCACCATCATTTCATGGCGCAAGGTTCCCGATACACAGAGACTTGCAATCTCATCATCTCTCGACTTTCCTCAAGCATAGAAAGTATTATCCAGTGGATTTCTTCAAGCATGAAAACCTGCCAAAATCATATGTCAACTTTCCCCAAGCATGGAAAGTATTATTCGGTTGATTTCTTCAAGCATAGAAAACCGCCAAATTCATATGTCGACTTTCCTCAAACCTGGAAAGTATCATCCAGTAGATTTCTTCAAGCATAGAAAGCTACCAAACTTGTCAGTCGGCTTTCCTTAGGCATGGAATGCCTTTCAACAAACGTTATCCGATGGATTCCTTCAAGCATAGGAAGCTACCAAACTCATTTGTCACCTATACACTGGTGTCAGATACGTATTTTATCTTTTCACTCTTTTATCTGTAGAACTAACATTTTTCTACAGGTATCGGTGTATAAAGAGTGATTTAGGATCGTAGAACGCCTTAAATCATTCTCCATCCCTATCAAATAATTTTACTATCGTTTTCAAAACTGATGTTTCTACAAACTCAGTCAAAGTGGGGGCTTCTGTAGACACCTAAAAACGTCTCCCCAAAACCAAACCCGATAATGAACAACCTTTCACCGCCATTATTGGCCGGGTTGAGTATTTAATCTTGGAGCACTTTAATCCATATTTCCATTTCATAAAATCAACCAAAATCCTATCCCATTTCCCCAAATCCTATCCCATTTCCCCAAACCATAACTTATTTTCCTCTTTTCGTGCCTTTAAACCCAAAATAATTCATTTCGTGTCCTATAAAATCATTTGTTTCGTGTCCTTTTTATAAAAACGTTTAGTCCAGTTTATTTTGGTCCATTATCTGGGTTCAATTATTGAAGATTTGGATGAAGGTTTGAAAGATCTTTCCAACGATATATTATAAGCCCAAATCCGAGTTTTAACGAATAAGTTATGTCCAAAATACTAAACTGAGCCCAAACCAAACCTAAGAGCACTACCGGCAGTGAGTGAAAAAGCCCTCACGAGTAAAAGTTAAGGTGTAAAAAAAAAACCGATCACCACATCAATGAGAGGAAATCCTCTCATGGCTGAGGACAATTAAATTCGCTCAAAGGATGAGGAGAAATAAGGAGGAATAGTAATCATGTGGGACCCGCAAATTCCCCACGCAAGCTTATTTCATTTGCTGAGAAAGGATGCAAAACGCATCATACAATTAGCTAACTCAGCAAAACGACGCCGTACAATTAGCAAACTCAGCCAAAAAAAATTAAATGGCTGGCAACTGACGCGCGTCAGGCCAGCCAATGGGGGAGCGACACGTGGTTGTGGCAGTTTATCCAACCAATCAGAAAATTCCCCTTTTTGCAACGGTAATATATTTTCAATGCTAAATAATACCATTTTAAATATATATAAAAAAAAAAAAAAAAATTCACCAATGGCCATAAAATTTTTTACTTTTTGATATATTTTGATATACTTTCAAAAACCCAAAAAATCTCTTATATTCACTAATTTCCCAAACCTCAATTCTTTTACTTCTTATTATTATTAATTACGGTTTTGTTAAAAAAAATTTACTGTTATAATAATTATACTTATAATAATAATAATAATAATAATTATTATTATTATTATTATTATTATTATTATTATTATTATTATTATTATTACTACTATTATTATTATTATTATTATTATTATTATTATTATTATTATTATTATTATTATTATTATTATTATTATTATTATTATTATTATTGCTGTTATTATTATTGTTGTTGCTATTATTATTATTATTGTTGTTGTTGTTGTTGATGTTTCCATTTTCCGAAAATATAATTTAGTTATTGTTTTTTTAGTAATTGTTGAATTTCTTACTAGTTATTGTTTAAAGCTTTATTACTTTACTACTTTATCAACTTATGGATCCTAACAACCCTGATTTTACGAATCATTTCTCTGATTTGGGTGATGATTTTGTCACTAATCCTCGTTTCCAGCTTTTCCTATAAAGGCTTGGAAACACTTCTTTGCAAAATTCACCACATCAAACACCTCATCAAACTCCTTTCGAAAACACTACCTATGAACCACATTCACCTCTTGTTTATCAAGGGACCAATTCTCAATTTGATGATGAAATGGAAGAACCTGTTCCAGACACTCCTCAATACTCTCCACATCCTCCAAGAGGGTCTGTGAATCAAAACCAACCATCTCCAAAAGCAAGTCGAATGTGGTATGTTGCACAGGATGGAGCTCTAATTGGTTTGTATCTTCAATTCAGTGAAGATGCAATTGTTGGTACAAACCAAAAAGCAGCTGCGCTCTGGCAAAAAATATCTGCGGCATATGATCAAGCGCACTCTGAGAAACCCCACATCCTACCGCCAAGACCTTTGAGGAGTTTGGAAAGCCGTTGGAGAAGGATGACAACTGATTTAATACAATGGAGTAGTTGCTATGACGAAGCTGGAAGGGCAACTGGCAGTGGTTACAACGAAGCAGACCGAATTCATAATGCGAGTAAGTTATTCTATATTTCCTCTAAGCCTACTCCACATAATTTTAATTGTCACCATGGTTGGGAAATGGTTAAAAATGACCCGAAGTGGAGGACAAAACTGAGATGGGCGTTGTCAAGAGAGGAAAGATTAGCTTGCGGTGATGCTGTCGAAGACGACAGTAGTGGAAGTGAAAAGCGGTGTAGAACTGAAGATGAAGATGTTGTTCCCGTTACCGGTTTCATTTATGGGGGGTCTTCCTCGACCTGATGGCGTTAAAAAGGCAAAGTCCAGGTGTTATAAGGGAAAAGGAGTGGCTTTTGATGTCTGTAACATTACTGAGCAAATGCAGCAGAATAATGCAAGTAGGGAAATTGAGGCACAAATGCGATTGAAGAAGTTGGATTTCGACATGGAAAGGGAAAGAAGGAAGCAAAAACAAGTAGAGCTTCACCAAAAACAAGTCGAAATTCAAGAGAGAAGGCTGAACTATGAAATGCTGCAAGATCTAATGGCAAAGGGACCGGACCTAACTCCCGATGAAGAGGCTTACAAGGAAGAATTACGTGCACTACTCTATGGTAGAAGGAGCATGTAATAATAATCAGCTTAATGTGTTTGCTACTGTTTTATTTAATTAATGTTCAATGTAGTCCTTTTTATTTTAATTAAGGTTAAGATGTACTCCTTTTTATTTACAGTAATGTGAAATGATGTTTGTTTTTATATAACATTAATTATGCAGTAAATTATTTACTTTATTAAATTTGTTTTGAATAATAATCACATGTACTGGTTAATGACAAATATACATCCCAATAAAATCTTCACAACTTTATGTTGAAGAGTCATATCAACTGAACACAAGTAATGATATAATGACATAGATCATTGAAGAGTCAAATCAACTGTCAAAGTGTCATATATCACATGCATCAATATTTCAATTGCAATTCAGAGTGCAATGACACATCAATTTCATTGCAGAGATTGCATTGAAGTGTCATGTGGACTTTATATACATGCATGACACATCAATTTCATTACAGATATTGCAATGATACATGGATTTCAATTCAGAGTTACTAACATGAAAAATCAGAGCAACTCACATGCATTGATAGTCACTTGGACTATATATACATGCATGTGTTATTCTAAACGGACAGAATCCCAAACAAACAACCTATTAAACCATAGCCAAAACATGTCTTTCATTTCCTCCACCTCAAGCTCTAGTTCTTCTGATTTCTCAAATAACGTTGAATTTGATCGGTTAGTTGATGATTATGCTTCTAACCACCTACCATATATTTTAATTCCCCAAGTCTCACCACAAGAATTCCAGCTTCATAATGATATAGCAAATGTCCCGGAGCCTAAAAGGGATAGGGAAAGAGAAAAAGGGAATGTGCAACTATATAATGATTATTTTGCGAGTAATGCAGTGTATAACGACAACCAATTCCGCCGTAGATTTCGTATGTAAAGATCTTTGTTCTGTCGCATTATGAATAAGGTGGTTGAAGGGGATCAATTCTTCCAACAACGTCGGAATGCAGCTGGAAAGCTTGGTTTATCACCGTTGCAGAAATGCACCGCTGCAATAAGAATGTTAGCGTATGGCGTAGCCCCTGATGTCATGGATAAATATCTTCGTATAGGTCAAACAACCTCAAGGAATGCATTGCAACATTTCTGTCAGGGGGTTATTACTCATTTTGAAAGTGAATATCTACGTAAACCTACAGATGAAGATCTAAGGAGAATCCTTCACCAAAATGAATTGCGTGGGTTTCCAGGCATGGTTGGTAGTATAGACTGCATGCATTGGGAGTGGAAGAATTGTCCTACGGCTTGGAAAGCACAATATGCTAGTCGTAGCAAAACTACAACCCCCATTCTTGAAGCCGTTGCTGATCAAGATTTATGGATTTGGCATGCGTTCTTTGGAATGCCTGGCTCATGTAATGATCTTAATGTCCTTTACCGTTCACCGGTGTTTGATGATGTTTTACAAGGTCGTGCACCACCAATAAATTTTTGGGTTAACGGACATCAATATGAGTTGGCCTACTACTTGGCAGATGGGATTTACCCGAGATGGCCAACTTTTATACAAGGTATAACACATCCTCAAGTTCAAAAAGACAAGTTGTTTGCTGATCAACAAGCAGCAGTTCGAAAAGACGTTGAACGGGCTTTCGGAGTTTTACAAGCCAGGTTTGCTATACTCCGACAACCAGCACTTGCATACGACGAAGATATTCTTTGTGACATTATCAAAGCCTGTATAATAATGCACAACATGATCGTCGAGGATGAACGACACAACTACACCCGTGCAGATGTTTTGAGACGATACTACGAAGAAGATGGACCACAACGTACAGCAGCGCGGCCGGGACCGAGCACAAGTGCCACGGTGAATAACAACGAGCCATTTGAATTCAACGTCGGGCGGCCACCCAACATTGATTTCAACGCATACTTTCAAAGGAGGATTGCCCTTCGTGATAGACAAATTCATTCGTCTCTCAAACAAGATTTAGTAGAGCACATATGGCAGAACTTTCGTCATAACACGACCGAATAAGCAAATTTGTAGTTTGTAAACGTATCGTTTTTAGGTTTTAATACTCGTGTTCGTGTATTGCTTTAGGTCAATCCCCTTTTTTAAGTTCGTAACCGTACTTTTTTTAATATCCGATGTATTTGTATTGCCGTTTATGTGTTCATTTAAAAAATGCGCTTCTAATTAATCGTTTAAGTTACAAAAAACATCTTTCATATAATCTATAATTGCTGTTGTTTGCTTTAGTTTTTATATTCTAATTAAAACGTAAAATAAAAAATAACATTGTAAATGGTATATTCAGAAATTTTAACCGTAATTAATTGAATAAAAAGACATTTCAAAAAAAAATTAATTTTTTTTTAATAGTTATTAAATAATAATCAAAACGTAATTATAAAAATTAAATATTACATATTTTAAATTGTATTGGAAAGTTACATATGTAGTATAAACATTATTAGATAAAAAGAGAAACAAAATGGTGATGTGTATTATGGTGGGGTATAGTAAATAGGGGAGGATAAAGTGATGAGGAGTTTTTTTTTTTGAGCATTGGTGTAGTTAAAAAAACCTCTCATGAGAGGAATTGGATGGGAAGAGTGAGAAAGTGGGTAGAGAGAGATTGAGGGGTTCGTTTTCTCCTCACTGCTGATAGTGGTCTAAGCCCACCTCACCTATGACCCAATTATCATGTGGAGTGTCAAAATTATTTAATCCCATTCCTAAACCAATCAGGATTAATTGGAAGCTTCTATAAGCTTCTAAAATATCTGAATTATCCTTTTTAAAAGATAAGATTAAAGAGTTTGAAATTGAATAAAACTTTTCTTTTTGAAAGTCCTATTTCTATTCAAATTAAAAGACGTTCAAAGATATAAAAATATTATTTTCCTGCCTCACAGATTTTTAGATAGCTCTTGAAATTATATTTCCAATGATATATTATAATATCAATTCCGAGCTATGACGGAAAAGATATGAATAAAATGTCAAACTCTATCCAAAACAGACACCGTCTAACTATTTCGTCTATATCTTTTGTTCTATAAACTATTTTAATCTGATTCTAATTGGGTTAGAAATTATACTTCAAGAGCTTTCCAAGGATATCATATTTATCTTATTCCGTTTTCTGGATCAAAAGATATGATAAAAACAAAAACCGCTAAAACTGTTGTCTATCGCAAGAGTATATATTATTCCAAATCGAATTCTTATCTTATCTTGTTTTTTCGACCCTTATTTTTTCTCTATAAATAGAGATCATATATCCCCTTTTTCAATCATCTACAAGATTGATCATAAAATAATTATCTTCTCCCTCTTTAGCCTAAACACTAGCCTTCCTATTCTTCCATAATTCTTCCCTTAAGTACTCCAAGGAGTTCATACTTAACCCTAAGTTCTATACTTAAACCAAGGCGTGAAAGGTAAAATTAAATGAGGGTTTGGACCAAAACAAATCTACTTTTTATTTAATTTAATTGTTTCAATTTGATTTATATTTGAATTGAAGTTACTAATAGTTTATTCATGATGTAGCAATTCAAGGAAACGCGGAAAGTGAGTAATTAATCACTTAATTACTCTTATTTTATTCTTGTTGCTAGTATCATGATTAGGTTTATAATTTATATTTGATTTGACCAACAATTTATTGTTAAATTGCCTCCAATATAAATGCTTATTTTATTATATTTATTTATCACCATATTGCATGTTAAAGGGAATATGTTATTGAAAAACACGCCTAATAAGATAATTTGGACGACCGGTTTGGGTTCCTTTTAAATCTTATTATCAAATATTTTTGAATTATATGTTGCATTAATATTCAACCAATTTTGCTTAATAATATTTTGGAGCAAATTGAATATTTTTTTTTTATGCCTTTGAGATCGCAGGAATACTTTTTACTATAAGAATCGAGTAGAGGCCAATACGGGCGAATGTGACTCCATGACTCACTTCGTACCATCATCCCCAATCCTCCTTTTGTGGTTCTGAACCAAATGGAGTTAATAATCTCATGGATTATGAATAGGGTGTAACCTTCATGGGTCAATCGTTGTTGCCTATCGTTGTCCCTTTATCGTGGTTGCCTTTTATGATCCTTGAACGGTTTACAAGTTACTTAAAAACTTGTTAGAGGCTCCCTACTTTCCTTGTCCCTAATCGTATACGTCAATTCTCACTTCTTAAGTGTGTCAAGCATATTCAAGCATGCTTTAACGTAGGCGCACTTTGAGTGACGCCTACAATCATTATCACCCTCAACACACACATTGGATAGAGATTTTTCATGAACAAGCATTAAGGATGACAACTGGCTTTCTAGCTCTTTACCTCTCTTTCTTCCCTCCTCAAGATGCTCCACACTCTTTTTCATCACCTCTAATTGACCTCTCATAGAATTAAGAATCATCTCCTTTCTAGGCCCAAGCTCATTATCAAGATCAATGCACCTAATTTGAGACTCAAATATAAGAACAAGAGATTCAAAAGATGTAGAAGGTTTAGGCTCAACAAGAATAGAAGAAGTACAACCAAGATTGGAAGAATCAACATTAAGGTCATGAGCATATAAATCACATTGGGGAGTGGGGGTGCAATCAAACACATGAGATTCATCATCAAGGGAATGAAGCACATCACAAGAAAGCATGGTAAAAAATAAAGAATATTGAAACACCATTAGCATGAATTTAAGCATGCACTTCATCATCATGAACAAAAGGGGAAATAGAGTTGAAATCATGTGTTCTCGGTTCACTTAAGGGATCATGTGGCAAATCATGGGAATTCATGCTAATATTAGAAGAACCAAGACATTGCATATTAATATTAGACTTATGATTACCCCTATCATAAACATTCCTAGCAAACCAAACATAAAAATCCCAAGCATCATCAATTGACAATTCTCTAAATTAACCATTATGCATGCATTCAACTTCATCCCTAGTTTGTTCATTTAAACCAAAATAACAAATCTCACAAGCTTCCAAAATATTACAACA